TTAAATTGTTAATTTGATACTAATATTGATATATTGTTTGCAAATTTTATACGATATTTTCAAATTTATATTCTATTAAAAAATATAAGCATTATCGCTGTCTTAAAACCACATAAAATCATATTATATCGGCATGAATAAAAAATAAAACGAAACGTTTAAATGGAAATGTGTCTCGATGCATTACACGAGTACCGTTTTAGTATATATATATATATATATATATACTTTCTTTTTTAAATAATAAACTGATAACTCGTTTTTTAAATTAATTATCTGAAATAAAATTAATATTTTATTTAAATAAATTTTACCAAAAAAAATGAGAATTCCATTATCTTTAATTTAAAATCCATATATATATATATATATAAGATTCACAAATAAAGTTTAAAATGATTCAGAATCTAGCTCATAAATTATAAAGTGACTCATGTACAAGTTATAATTAAGATTCATATATGAATCTATGTTATGTTTCACGTGTTCACATATAAATTTTAAACTGACTGGGAATCTCATTTATAAACTTTAAATTGATTCATATACAAAATATGATTAAGATTCACATGTAAACCTATGTTAGGATTCACATTTTCCCGTATGAACCAAAGAAAAACATCATTGTTTGTGTTCATATATGAGATTTAGGTAAATGAGATTTAATTCGACTTGTAAATTATAAAATTGTCAATGACTTCAAGGTGAAAAATTGGATAAAAAAATCGATATGTATCAATATCCAAATAATGTTATAGAAAAAACAAAATAAATTGGATATTTGAGTTTTTTTTCAATACCAATTATCTCATCATTTCCTTGATTTTATGGGTTATTATTGAAGTGTGCGACGACTTTCATGTGCTAGAACTTTAGCTGGTAAGCATTAACACATTTCATGATTGCACATATCACCATCCTTTCTCTCTCTCTCTCTCATCCTATAGATATATAATCTGCGTAAGTATATATATATATATATATGTATACATATTGGTGGTGTTGGTGTTTTCTCTATGTCGTGCACAGTGAATTAAGCTCTGAAACAGCTGAAGAGAAATAAAAGGCAGCGAAACAACCAAAATCTCATTTAGAATCACTCTACTTTGTCCCTCTCCGAATCCCATCAACGATTTTTAGTGAGAGAAGAAGAGTTTAAGAGAGAGAGAAAACGGGTGAGAAGGATAATGGATTACATTAGTAATTAATGAAAAAACTTAAAAATAAAAATTTCAAAACTATTAGTGGCGATTACTTATCTCATTCTTAAATTTTTAATGCTTCTCATTTGAACCTAACATCTCAATTGCAAATAAAAAAAGATTCAAACTGCAAACCATATACCATCAAAGTCACTTTATAACTACCCCTAATTAATAGCAGGGGTATGAGGAAAAAAAAAAAAAAACTTAACGAACAATCGCATTTTAGATGATTAATTTCATAAATTATTTTTTTAATGAAAAAAAATCAAACTCTTTCATTTTGAATGATTAATTTCCCGAACTTTTTTTTGGAATGAAAAAATAATTAAATTTTCTCAAATGATCAAGTCTCTATAAAAAAATTTAATAAAACAAGTCATCGAACTTTTAAAAATTGGTTACTTATATCATTTTTTAACCCAAAAAAACTACTTGCAGACGACTAGAAATGTCTTCAAATAAAAATATTTGTAACCCCCTAAAATAGATCAAAAAGAAGGAGATCGATAGCAGAGGTCAATAATATGATAGGCGATATGAAGAACGGACAACGATGAAAGACAGTGAGTGGCGAACGGGAGTGATACCTTTGTTTGTAATGGGTTTGAAGAGTGTAGGATTTGGAAATGGTAAAATTGGTTTAATTTTATTAAAATTCGATGATTTATTTATTACAAAAATATGTTCAGGGACTTAATGTTTAAAACGAGAAAATTTAACGGTTTTTCAGTCAAAACAATGGTTCACGGACTTAATCATTCAAGATTAAAAAATTTAATGATTTTTTATTAAAAAATAATTCAATAACTTAATCATTCAAAACATAATAATTGGTTAGGATTTTATGAAAGCATACGTATTTTAACTTTTTTTTTTTTGCTTATCTATACTATCTTATAATGCATTTGGCTAAAACTCTTAAACTCTTAATCTCTTAAACTCTTAAAAACAACCTCTATTGCCAATTGTACAACTCATTAAAGCCATCCCTAAACCCAACTTCTTTAACGCTTTCATCGGCCCTAAACCCAACTTCTTTTAACTCTTTCATCGGCTCCAACAGATTAAGATTGAGATGAAATCGAATCCAACAAACTCTCCCCTATCGATTTCAAGATTTTGATAATGATATCGACTCACYCTCCCCTWTCGATTTCATCGGTTCCAGATTTCATCGCCATCCCTAAAACAAATTCGATCGTCATTTTCTTCAATCGTGCTTCCATCGTCTTCTTCAATCTTCYAGGAAAACGTTTAGGGTTCTGTTAGCTTAGGGTGTTCTCGAATCTTCTTCGAAATCTGACCTGTGTTCTCGAATCTTTTTGTAGGTTCTTCGAAATCTGATCTGTCTTCCATCGTCTTCTTCAACGTTCAATCCATCTCCAGGTAATTATTTGGTTTGTTTTTACCATTCATGTACAACACAAAAATCAAAATTTTCAAATACCCATTAGGGTTTATGGAGTCAAGATTGGGCAAAAGCTCATGAACCCAGAAAGAGGACTCTTTATTTGTTATCTTTTATTATCTTTTATTTGATGGAGTCAAGATTGGGTCCATCCAGATCATATTTCATGGACGTCATTGTCATTTTCTTTAGGTTTTTTTTGATAATGATGAGTTAGCAACTCAAACCGGCAAAACTAAAAATAGAACATTTGTAATTGAATGCAATTGTAGTAACTGATTAGGCCTTTCTTTTTAGTGGTAATATCACTTGTAGTTCTGATACTGCCTCTGGTTTTCCTTGTATTTTGTATTTCTTGTTAGAATTTGGGATTTGCAGGGTTTATATATCGATGAAAGAACTTGGATAATATATTGGATCGTGAAAGGAGTCACTCCGTAGGTAATATTTCAACCCTATTGTAGCCTCTGGGTATCACAAACTTCACTTTGATATACTCCAAAATACACACTCAAGAATCAAGATTTGAAGGAAAAATCTAGAGCAAATCCTCACTCGTTATTTTTTTGAGAAAAATGATTTACAGGTATATTTGATGATCTAGAATTTAAGAGAAGATTCTCTCTATGTTAATAAAGATATCTAAATGATTTACAGGTATATTTGGTAGTAATATGAGCAAGTGCCATGAAGTCGACATCAAAACCTTAAATCCTCTTAATCAGTGATATACGTGATGAACCCTTTTTACATTATAGCTGATATTATATCATATGATATTATCTAGAGCTTTCTCAATCATCATGTTGCACTCAATTGTTTTTTTCACTAACAAGATCTTGCTGGGGATGTGGTTCAAAATTTGAAGGACTTTGTAACACCCGAAATTTTATTTTAGGTAATTTTACCTTATTTGTTAATTTTCTCTATTTTCAAAAAGGGGGGGGTACCCAAGCAGAGAATATCAACCTCGGCACCTTGACCATTTCTGTTTCCCACCTTAACAGCAAACAGCAAGTCTGCTGTGCTATTTCTTCCTCGCTTCCCAATTCGTCAAGCGGCAACAATGAGCCGTGTTTGRGCTGCCTGTGCCTCGCCAAGACAGYAGCTTTAGCTGCGTGTTTGCTGTACTCCCGGAACAACAGCAGCAACCACCCATCAGCGGACCATTTCATTTGCGCCTTCTCGTTTCGTCGCCCTCCCAAGACTCAAAACAGCAGCAGCAACAGCCGCGAACAGCAGCTACTGCGTCTTCCTCGTTCGCCCATAACAGCCGGCAGCAAGGCAGCGGCCCCTGTTGTGCTGTGCTGTCTTCTGCACGCCTCGCCAAACAGCAAACAACAGCAGCAAACAGCAGGCTGCAGGTGCCGTTTTCTCCGTCTTCTCGCCCGAACAGCAGCCGTAAGGAGCAGAGCCATTGCGTCCTTCTCGATTAGCCAGCAGCAGACAGCAGCTTCGCTAAGCTGTTTCTTCGCCTCCATTCGCCCAAACAGCAAGCAGCTTTTCTGCTGTGCTGATTCTCCACTTTTTCCCTGCGCGTTTCCTCAGACCAGCAGCATCTGCGGGTGCCACCTGCGCATTTCGGTCGTCCCTTAGATACAGCAGCAGCAACAGTAGTCGTTGCAGCCTTGCTCTATGTTTCCTTTACCCAATCAGCACCAGCAAGAAGACCGGGCAGTTGTGCCCTTTCTCTTTCGAATAGCAGAACGCAGACAACACCATTGATGTGCTGTTTTCCCCTTCGTTGCACCCCGTAACCCAAACAGCAGCTGTTACTGCGTTTTCTTTCTATGTTTTCCTTCACCAAACAGCAGGCAACAAACCTGCTGCGCTCCACTGGACAGCAAACAGCAAACAGCACCTGTACGATGCTGTTTTCTTAGTGATTCTTTGCCCGAACAGCTACCTGCAACGCGAACCTTGCTGTCATTTGCCAAACAGCGAACAGCACTCTGCTGTGCTGATTACCTCCCTTGCGTCTGCCGATTTAATCCCGAGAAAGTAGGGTTTCTACTAAACCCTTCAGGTGAGTTCATCTTGATCATTTTATTAGGAAACTTTATATTAATTGAAAAGGAGTATTTTGCTTCCCTTATGCCCTAATTCCATGTGCTTACTTGTTAAATGAAATGAAAACGTATGGGTCTAAAGAGTGAGCTTGAGTAATCCCATTTTAATGATCGGTTGAGTTGGGTAAATAGTCTTAATCACTTGGTAAATTACCCATTTCAAAGCGTTGTTGGCCACTAAATACTAAAACTCTATCGCTCTTGGTTTGGAGTCCTTTAATGATAAGCTGGACATTTTTCGTTTGAGTTCTGACACATGCAAAATCTTATCGATAAATGATTGCCATTATGCTTATGGTACRGATTTATTGATAAATTTGTGCTGTTTTTTTGCAGGTTAAGTTTGGGGAAACACTTCGACGCTTTAGTGCACTTGTTCATGACAAGGAACTTGCTCTTGATGTTGTCATGTTGAGGGCGAAGATCCGCAATCTATTTGGCTTTGATTCTGATGTTGATTTCACTCTCACTTATGTTGATGAAGATGGCGACGAGGTTACTCTTGCTGATGATGATGATATCCATGATGTTGTGCGCCAGTCTCTGAATCCGTTGAGGATAACTGTGAAGTTAAACAATGGCAAGTCTGATGAACCAAGTGGGACTTCTACTCCCCTGAGATCCTTGAATTCTGGTGTCTCTGAAATTCTGAAATCTGTRCCTGAGCCCTTTCGCKATGTGCTTGCTAAACTKCCCCTAGATTTGGCATCTAAAGCATCATCTTCTGCTCCCGGGATTGCTGAGCTTGTGGAAAAGCTCACAAAAACATACTTGAATCAGCTTTCTGACCCTATTGCTAGCCCAAAGGCMCCCACCCCTGGCGAWGGTTCAGCAACCGTTAATGGCSAAAAGGRTAAGAATTCTGAATCATCGAACGTTAATGGTCGAAAGGGTAAGACTTCTGGACCATCAGTTGTGACGGACAGTAAGGTTCCAGTGGACCCTGAACTTATAAAATCCAAATCGAAGAAGAAAGAAGAGCAGGTTCAAAAGGTGAATGAAGGTGTGAAGTTCAAAGATGTTCAGCCCCCAAGAGCGGTTGATCTTAATGTTCCTTACTTTGATTATGAAGCTTTTCAGACYCCATTTAWTACCAACAAGGGTGTGGAAGGGTCTAATGGCCGAACTTATTCCCAAGTTGTATCTGATCTTCCTTCCATGAAAATCAAAGACACCACTGATGGTAGCTCTGAAAAGAAGAATGCTGGTTTTGCTGCACCCTGTCTTGATTATCTGAAGCAATATATTCAGGATCATAACGTGACTGAGATGGGTGGTCTGTCATCAGCTGACATCCCAAAAGCTACTGATGATTCTGGCAGTTCGTCGGGCTGGGCTCAGGGCATGTTGAATGCAACTAATCAATGCCCATTTTCAGGAATGCCATTACCAAACGACCTTAGTTTGCATGCTTATCAACCTTCTCGCGGTCCTTGGAGGAGAAGCTATAACCATGGTAATGGCATAGGCAATATATTTCACAGGGGTGTTCGTTGCGATGGTTGTGGTGTTCATCCGATAACTGGGCCTCGGTTCAAGTCCAAAGTGTATGTAATCATTATTATTGCTAATTAGTCTATCCGTAAACCAGTTTTAGTAACTTGTGCCTTTTGCAGGAAAGAAGATTATGATCTGTGCAGCGTTTGCTTTGCTGGAATGGGTAATGTTGCTGACTACATCAGACTGGATCGCCCTGCAAATCTTGTAAGGCATCATATGCCTTTCAAGGGGTTTCATGATCCGGTATGTAGTTTTTAAATATATAGCGCTTCAATGTGTATTCGGTGTTTACTTGGTGCTGACTGATAATAAATGTGGTATATTTTTGCTTTGMTGATAGTCTCTTCGGATTCCACCTCCAACTCTGCCTCATGCTTTGAGAGCTCCTGGGACAAAGCTTCCTCGGTCTAAGCTTGATAGCCGCTTCATTCTTGATGTTAATGTTTTTGATGGTACCCTCATGGCTCCATTCACTGCATTCACCAAGATTTGGAGGATGAGGAATAATGGTACCAGCAAGAAGACCGGGCAGTTGTGCCCTTTCTCTTTCGAATAGCAGAACGCAGACAACACCATTGATGTG